GAGTCACTCGATCCCTCCCCATGAGTCTCAATTCCACGCTGAATGGCTACCACAAAATATGCCTTTCGGTCTGGGGGCACACCCGATACCTCTACTTGGCTCGGAATGTGGCTTGGTCCCTTGACGACAAAGACAATAAAAAGGCGGAAAACGGAGATAGAAGTTACTGGTAATAGCTGCCCGGTGAGAAAGTGCAGCCCAATGTCAAAAAAGCCATGGTCACACGATCATCGGCCTCCCGCTATCGCTTCTTTCTTTATTCATGGGGTATTCCTTGGCGATTACATTTTCTGTGTCCTTTTTAGCATATTGATCTTTGCCTAAGTGGCTCTCGTTGCTCGCCAATGCGTCAGAGGACGATGTGACGCACGTTGGACAGTCTCACACGGACAATTAGTAAAAGTAAGGAGGAGGATTCCTGGACCTAGCAACCCCATTTTGGGATGCATCTCAAACTTTCCTTCCTCCCAAGTTCGGTCTTCCAAGTAATTAACCTGGAATGGGGGAGAATGAGCTGGTTTCGGACAGCGACGATTCGATATTTGAACCCAGCACAATACGCATGGTAGCACCGCCTCTTCGCACTAGCCCACGTTTGCCTAGTCTGCCTAGGATAGAGACACAGAAGTGGCAAATGGCTACCTCAATCAGGACTACTACCCTCCTCCACGATATAGAGGGGAGAAAGATTCGAAGGTTGCGGGTTTTACCCCATTGCTGTAGGTTCGAAAAATTTGAGTCAATATGTGTGGATATCGAAAAAAGGGACCAAAGCGACCCTTCACTCCGGAAAGGGACCCAGCACATAGGGAAACAGAAAGAAAATCACATGAAGGAATCACATGGTCTATAGAAAGTCCATCATAACCCATCATTTCGCGATCGTATCCATCCATATGGGCAATCTAAAAAACTGCCCATTTCCCGCATTGCTGCGCACTCGGCATGTCTTTGTTCGATTTACCGTATGGTGCCTTAGCATGGATTATTCGCAGGGAATCCATACATGGCGTAACCCAGAACCAATTATCGCCAATCATTATTCTACCATACTCAAAAGTATTTCTAGTGAATCTGGCAAAAACAACAAGACAGACAGGCGGATAGACAGATAGACATGTGGTCCGCGATCAACAGTATGTCATACATCTGGACTCAATTTGGGGACGTCTTTAGGAGTTTGTTTATGCGACGAGGAAGAAATCTCGTCCCACCTTAACTCACAGAAAAAATTTACAAGAATCTGCACATTAGGAAGAAAGCCAAGCTTAAAGCTACAGCTTCATAAAAACGCAGTTTAAGAAAAAATGTGAACCCAAAAGTTGCTCGGAGCACTGGCTCAGCAGTCGTAGGTAGAACCGTAACCACCCACGATTCAGTGATTCCACCGGACTACTGAGGTTTGGTGCGGATGTGATGTATAGGCAAGTCTGGCACTATCACACGCATGGTCACGGGTTCGAATAAACGCCTAGGAAAACCAAGTCCTCCATCCCTCTGGCGTCGGTTAGTTGGTACCTGATACCTGGACGGATAGAAGCAGTGACTTTTACATCGGCTGGCCAGCGCAATTCTTTGTATGGGCCACATACACATTCATACCACCAATAAGATTCTGAATGTAAGTCGAATGCGAGGCGCTTCCCATAATCGGAAATGATCAAAAGGGGTCAACTACGGTTGATAAAACAACGCTCCTGGCACAGGCCCATTTCAAGCTTCATTTTTACACGATATTACGCAGTCAACACCATCTGTGGCTAAAGAAGTCTATACATGAGTAGTTTGAAACAGGAAATTTTAAAATTCCGCCGATATCAATTAATCGAATAGATTATACTTTTTAGCGAAAAAATCAATATCGATTCGATTGATTTTTCGGGAAAAAATAATCCGGTGATGTGAGCCATGACAGGAAGTGAAGATCGAGACAGATTAGCGCTTAAAA